TAGTCGAAACTGTTACATTCCTCCCTTCTTAGAATTCAACGTCCTCGTGAATTCTCAAAAACTGTTACTATATCAGCGGCATTGGTGAGATTTTCCTTAGGTTCCCAAGTGGCATCATGCAATGGGTATCCTTTCCATTTGACCAGGTAGAAGGGTTTTCTACGCATTAGTTTCTTGTCCAAAATTGTTTCTACTTCATATTCCTCTTCATTGGTTTCAGGAATTACTTCAGGTGGTGGTGATATGTCGCGGTTAAAGTCAGTTAGGTTTTCTTTATATGGTTTTAGCATTGAAACAAGGAAGACAGGATGGATCTTCAGATTAGAAGGTAGTCTTAGTCGATATGCAGTAGTGGAAATAACTTTTTCAACTTTATAAGGTCTCATAAATTTAGAAGCAAGCTTGCAAGTTGGTCAGTTGGTTTGCACAAGATCATTGATATTAATGGAATTTACTAGAACTTTATCCCCCTTCTTCAAAGGTAAGTTCACAGTGGTATTTGTTGGCATATTGTTATTGTCGTTCCTGGGCTAAGCACAAATTATCTTTTGTAAGATTAATAATATTTTTTCATTTTAATAGAAAGTCATCAGTTGTGACAACATTTGTTTGTTTTCCAGTTGCAAAAGTAGTAGGTATATTTGGGTGTTGTCCTAAATCAATTTCAAAAGGTGTAAAATCAGTAGATAAATTTTTAGAATTATTATAAGCAAATTCTACTGCAGGTAACAATTCATCCCAATTATTTTGTTGATAATTTGTATAAGCTCGTAACATTTCTTCCATTGCATGGTTCATGCATTCAGTTTGGCCATCTGTTTGTGAGTAATGAGAGATTGACATTGCAAGTTTGTTCCCAATTTTTCAAAAAGTACTTTCCAAAAGTGACTGGTAAATTTAGGATCTCTATCAGAGATAATGACTTTAGGTAGTCCATGGTTTTTGAATATAGTATTAAAGAATATTTCAGCTACTTGTGGGGCTGTTACATCAGTAGTAGTAGGAATAAAATAGGTTCGTTTGAATAGTTTTTCTACAAAAACAACTATTGCATCATGTTTCTTTGTGGTTTTTGATAATTGTACTACAAAATCCATTGTAATATGATCCCATCGGCATTCTGGTATGTCTAGGGGTTATAATAGTCTAGTAGGCGCTTAGTTGGAGACTTTATTTCTTTGGCAGGAGTCATAGCTAGTGACATAATTCTTTATATCTTTTCCCATTCTTGGCCAAAAATAATTTCGTTGTACTAACTCCAAAGTCTTTTCAGTATCTAAATGTCTGACAATAATTGAATCATGACATTCATGTAACAAAAGTATTTGTAATTCCTTATTGTTAGGAATTACAAGTCGTTTTCCACTTTTGAGATAAATTAATTCATCATGGAGTTCAAAGTTGCATGCTTGGGGTTTATTTTCTTTGGATGTTAATGCTTGGTAAATTGGTTCAAAATAAGAATCATTTTTGTATTCATTAATCAATAATTCTTTATCAATTAGGTTGGTATTAAGGGTATTAATATTTGAAAGTTGGGGAACTCGAGATAATGTATCAGCTACCACATTTGTTTTTCCCAGTTGGTATTTAACATCAAAATTAGATGATTATAAGACTTCAAGTCACCTAGCTTGTCTTCTGAAGAGGTTTAATTGTGATTTAATAAATTTCAAGGCTACGTGATCTGTGATAATTGTGAATAGTTTTTTTTCAAAATAGGAACGTCAAAGTTTAATAGCATGAACTATTGCCAGTAATTCCTTTTCATGGGTTGCATGGTTTAATTTCCTAAATTCAAACGCAATAGGTTGGTTACCTTTACCATGGTCTTGACTCAGCACAGCTTCAATGGCAGTGTCGGAGGCATTAGTAGTCACAGTAAAAGGTTTGGTTTGATCTGGAATAAGTAAGACAGGTGCGGAGATTAACTTCCCTTTTAATTTATCAAAAGCTTCCTGTTGATCTGGTTTCCATTCATATGGTATGTCCTTTCGTAATAAGTAGTTAAAGAGGAGGCAATGGTAAAGAAATTTTTTACAAATTTCCTGTAATATGAAGTTAGTCCCAAAAATGATCTAAGTTCTGTTAAGTTAGTAGGATTAGGCCATTTTTTAATTACTTCTACTTTCTTTTTATTAATTGCAATTCCTTCACTTGATATATAATGTCCAAGATATTCAACTTTGTTTTTGAATAACTCACACTTTTTTAATTTGGCATATAATCTATGTTCTCTAAGTTTTGATAATACTTTATGCAAATGTTTCAAATGGTCTTCTTTTATTTTACTGTATATTAGAATATCATCCAAATATACAATCACAAATTCATCAAGATATTCATGAAAAATATCATTCATTAGAGTCATGAAGGTTGCAGGAGCATTGGTTAATCCAAAGGGTAAGACTAAAAATTCATAATGACCATATCAAGTTCGGAAGGCAGTTTTATGGATATCTTCTTTTTTGATTCAGATTTGGTGATATCCTGAGTATAAATCCAATTTGGAAAAGTATTTAGCACCAACAAGTCAGTCCAGTAAGTCTTCAATACGAAGTAGTGGGTAGTGATTCTTGATGGTCATCTTATTAAGAGCTCGATAATCAACACAAAGTCTCAAGGTTCCTTCTTTTTTATGAACAAATAAGACAGGAGCACCAAAAGGAGATACAGAAGGTTGAATAAATCCTTTTTCCAAAAGGTCAGAGAGTTGAACTTTTAATTCCTTCATTTCATAATGAGATAGTCGATAGACAGGTCGAGATGGAGGTTCCATGCCAGGTATAAGATCAATTGCGTGATCCAATCTTCTTTCTGGAGGTAATCCATTAGGCAAAGTAGTAGGAAAAGTGTCATTAAATTCTTTCAAAAGTTTCTTAACTTCAGGAGGATATACCAGTTGTTTTTCATTAGAGGTTTCTT